AAGGAGTTGTACAGTGGGCGAATATCAAAAAAAAAAAGGGAAACAATTTGTAATTTCTATAGGGTTAGTCCGACTACTAACTAACTAACTACTAACGAACTAACTAACTAACTAACTAAACTACTTAAAAAAACTAACTAACTAACTAACTAACTAACTAACTAACTAACTAACTAACTACTAACTAACTAACTAAACGAATCTAACTAACTAACTAACTAACTAACTAACCACTAACTAACTAACTAACTAACTAACTAACTAACTAACTAACTAACTACTAACTAACTAACTAACTAACTAACTACATAACTAACTAAACTAACTAACTAACTAACTAACTAACTAACTAACTAACTAACTAACACTACTAACTAACTAACTAACTAACTAACTAACTAACTAACTAACTAACTAACTACTAACTAACTAACTAACTACTAACTAACTAACTAACTACTAACTAACTAACTAACTACTAACTAACTAACTAACTAACTAACTAAACTACTAACTAACTAACTAACTAACTACTAACTAACTAACTAACTAACTAACTAACTAACTACTAACTAACTAACTAACTAACTAACTAACTACTAACTAACTAACTACTAACTAACTAACTAACTAACTAACTAACTAACTACTAACTAACTAACTAACTAACTAACTAACTAACTAACTAACTAACTACTAACTAACTAACTAACTACTAACTAACTAACTAACTACTAACTAACTAACTAACTAACTAACTAACTAACTAACTAACTAACTAACTAACTACTAACTAACTACTACTAACTAACTAACTAACTACAACTAACACTAACTAACTAACTAACTAACTAACTAACTAACTAACTAACTAACTAACTACTACTAACTAACTAACTAACTAACTAACTAACTAACTACTAACTAACTAACTAACTAACTAACTACTAACTACTAACTAACTAACTAACTAACTAACTAACTACTAACTAACTACTACTAACTAACTAACTAACTAACTACTAACTAACTAACTAACTAACTAACTAACTAACTAACTAACTAACAACTAACTACTACTAACTAACTAACTAACTAACTAACTACTAACTAACTAACTAACTAACTAACTACTAACTAACTAACTAACTAACTAACTAACTAACTAACTAACTAACTAACTAACTAACTAACTAACTACTAACTACTAACTAACTAACTAACTAACTAACTAACTAACTACTAACTAACTACTAACTAACTAACTAACTAACTAACTAACTAACTAACTAACTAACTAACTAACTAACTAACTAACTAACTAACTAACTAACTACTAACTAACTAACTAACTACTAACTAACTAACTAACTACTAACTAACTAACTAACTAACTAACTAACTAACTAACTAACTAACTAACTACTAACTAACTAACTAACTAACTAACTAACTAACTACCTACTAACTAACTAACTAACTAACTAACTAACTAACTAATAAAACTAACTAACTAACTAACACTAACTAACTAACTAACGAACTAACTAACTAACTAACGAACTAACTAACTAACTAAACTAACTAACTAATAACTAACTAACTAACTAACTAACTAACTAACTAACTAACTAAAAAACTAACGAAAACTAACTACTAACTAACTAACTAACTAACTAACTAACTAACTAACTAACTAACTAACTAACTAACTAACTAACTAACTAACTAACTAACTAACTAACTAACTACTAACTAACTAACTAACTACTAACTAACTACAAGGTATAAAGTATATAGTTCTTTTTCAAAAAGCGAAAAATAGTCACATGTTAAACGAGAGACGGGTGCTTTTAGTTTTAAACATACATTGAACACCCGGTTGCTTAAAGCTTTTCTATAACAAACTTTAAGTTTATTAGCAGCTTTGAGAGAGAGAGACAAAGCTTTAGTTAACATTGCTCTACACAAGTTTAACAGACAAATTTTAGATTTTTGACATGTTAACATTCCGCCTTAAATAATATATTTCCGGTTAAAATTAACAATGAATCCTACGTTCAATGCAAAACACATACAATACATCAACACTCCATTGTTTGAAGTGACAGTTGTAATAGTTGTAGTGAAATTCTCTAGTGATAACACAGGATAATTGTGAGAGTGTGTGTTTATAACAGTTGAATTGTCAAAAAAAGTTAAAAAGGAAGAAACAGGACATACGATAACTGTTAAAAGCAAATAGACAAATCAACTGATTGCATAAATAAACAAGTGTAAAAGCAAAGATTCAACAAAATATAACTTCAAATTTTGATTGTTTAATGAAAAAAAAGCTTTAAAAAGTATATTTGGAAGTATAATAATAAAGTTGGTGTCAGACAGACAACCGCAAATACACCGAGAGAGAATGAACGTAAAAAGTCAGGTTATGTGGGGAATAACGATTACGTTGACTACGACAACAACAATAACAGCAAACATCCTTATTTGTCCTACAGAATGTATGAAAGTAAAAGCGAAAAGTTAAAAACAAAAACAAAACAACCGAAACAAAAACAATAAACTGAAAGAAAGCTTACACATGTACAAGTATAATAATATCCTTGTGTCGGAAGTTTCGCAACAATTTTTTAGTGTATGTGCCATCAGTTATTAAGTAAACGTCGAACGAACTATCAGCGATAACGAAAGAATTCTCTTAAGATTTATTGTACGCAAAAAGTGTTTTAAATAAAAAACAAAAAAAATAAATTATTAAGAAAATATAAAAAAATATTTTGGCAAAATATTAATAGATTTAAAAAAAGATTTAATTTTTTTAAAAACAAATAAAATCGTAATAAAGTTTTTAAACTTTTAATGAAATATTAAATTTTTCACCTAAAGTCCTGTTTGGAAGTTTATTAAAATTTCAAATTGTTTTCCATAAAAAAATATTTATTAATAAAAAAAAAACTCTGCTTTTGATAAAACGAAATAATAAATAAATAAATTTCCGCTTTGTTACACAAATTTTCATAAAAGAAAATTGAGTGCCAACATCTACAGACAACGAAAAACATAAAAAGGAATTTCGTTGTTGCTGCTGTTGTTGTCGTTTTCATTATTGTTGTTGATTTAAAGTGCGTTTTTTAACTTGAAATTTGATTTGAGTAAAAAAATATAAAAAAACTTTTAAAGTGTGTGTACTTCAGTTTTTGCCCCACAACAACGTTAAAGTTTGTTGGCATCCAGCTGTGTCATCCCACCTTACCTTTTTCACAACAACAAAAATCTGCCTTAACCCACAACATAGTACATTCTTGCAAACGCCCTCATTCCGTTGTTCTATTTCCGTAACCTTTGTTGTTGCTGCTGCGGATGTTGTTGCTATCTATGAACATTATCTACATCATCAGTCTAATATAAAAAGGAACGACAGAACGGACGGACTCATAGACCAACAGTCCTTACAAAATAGTGTTTGTTAACACTATACGAGTAGTCATCTTTATAGCCACCAATAATACCCAACCAACTCCCACCGTCTTAATATTCTCAATTGAATTGTTGTTGTTTTTTTATTGTTTGGTTTGTTCTTCAAAATCATTGTCGTCCAAAATGAGTGAAAGTCATCGTTATGCAGCTAATGAATTCAGTTACATTCTTCAACGTCAGGTTTGTATTTTAATTATATTCTATTTAATTTATTCTCTCTATTACAAACATATTTTAAATTTATTAATTTTGTTGAATATTTCCTGCGTGTCAGTTATTAAATTATTTATGTATTTAGCGTGAGCTTTTCAATTAATAACAATTAACCTGGTGTAATTAAGCTTATGATTTTTCATTGTTGTAAATTTTCACACAAGTTTGATTTAGTTAATTGTTTGGTCAAATGGAAACTAATTGAGTGACAGCGGTGTATGTTCAAATATATACATATATATGTATGTGTGTGAGTTTGTATTAGGGAAATTGAGCTGTTTGTTATACTGTGGTGAAATAATTAATTGTAAGCCTAAAAGTAGGCATTGGAATTTTAAAGTAAGTAGTATAATATCCGTTAACGGTGTAAATATGAATGTTAGTGGGCCGCTATTTTCTAGGAATATAAAGTTAGAAAACGATATGAAAGGTCAGGCATGAAAATTCAGTATTTTAGTACTCTTTTCAGTACTTTTTGACACAGAGAAATACCGCGGTACCACCCCCACGTCATTTTTGGTACATTTTCGAACTTACAAACTTTTGATAAATAGTCCACATACTAAACAATGGATTAGTCTATAGTCTAGTCTATAGTCTAGTCTTAGTATAGTCTAGTCTATAGTCTAGTCTATAGTCTAGTCTATAGTCTAGTCTATAGTCTAGTCTATAGTCTAGTCTATAGTCTAGTCTATAGTCTAGTCTATAGTCTAGTCTATAGTCTAGTCTATAGTCTAGTCTATAGTCTAGTCTATAGTCTAGTCTATAGTCTAGTCTATAGTCTAGTCTATAGTCTAGTCTATAGTCTAGTCTATAGTCTAGTCTATAGTCGTCTATAGTCTAGTCTATAGTCTAGTCTATAGTCTAGTCTATAGTCTAGTCTATGTCTAGTCTATAGTCTAGTCTATAGTCTAGTCTATAGTCCTATAGTCTAGTCTATAGTCTAGTCTATAGTCTAGTCTATAGTCTAGTCTATAGTCTAGTCTAGTCTATAGTCTAGTCTATAGTCTAGTCTAGTCTATAGTCTAGTCTAGTCTATAGTCTAGTCTATAGTCTAGTCTATCTAGTCTATAGTCTAGTCTAGTCTAGTCTATAGTCTAGTCTATAGTCTAGTCTAGTCTATAGTCTAGTCTATAGTCTAGTCTATAGTCTAGGCTATAGTCTAGTCTATAGTCTAGTCTATAGTCTAGTCTATAGTCTAGTCTATAGTCTAGTCTATAGTCTAGTCTATAGTCTAGTCTATAGTCTAGTCTATAGTCTAGTCTATAGCTAGTCTATAGTAGTCTATAGCCTAGTCTATAGTCTAG